AGTTTTCACCCTGCTGCGCCTTAACACACACAGGGTCACCTATGTCATGAATGTTGCTTGTCTGCAGCTTGAGGTGCAGCTTCCCCCAAACTCCTGCACCAATCTCCTTGAAAGCTGGCAAGCTTTGTGGCCTCAGCAGGGGCTAGCAAGCCTGCAGTTTTGACCCCACTGTGGCTTAACACATACACGTGACATGCATTTTTGCTTTCAAGAATTTGAGGTGCAGTTTCCCTGAAACCCCTGCACCTATCTCCATGAAACTTGGCAGGCTTCCTTCCCTCAGAAGGGGCTACCATTCCTGCAAGTTTCCTCCAAATCAGGCCCAGAAATAATAAAGTTATAGGCTGTTTCGAGCTTCCCCATTATAGCCTATGGGCAAAACATCGAAACAGCATTGAAACAACTAAACTGTTTCGACAAAACAAAATGGAACAGTGGTTTTGAGTCAAAATGAAATTCAAAATGAAACGCTGTTCCATTGAAATGTCAAAACACAAGTCAAAATGGAACAGTACTGTTTCGCACAGCCCTAGTACATGTGGCAGTGGAGGTGGTGGGCCATAATTACAGCAGTGATAACACGAATGTTTCCCACTGTTCCATCAAAATGTCAAAACACAAGTCAAAATGGAACAGTACTGTTTCGCACAGCCCTAGTACATGTGGCAGTGGAGGTGGTAGGCCATAATTACAGCAGTGATAACACGGAAGTTTCCCATCAGGGCTGCCAAATATGCTGCTAGAAAGGTGACGAAGTGTAAGATTTGCAGCTCCTGAGTGTCAGAGAAGCCCAGGAGGAGGAATTAAATGTCAAAACACAAGTCAAAATGGAACAGTACTGTTTCGCACAGCCCTAGTACATGTGGCAGTGGAGGTGGTAGGCCATAATTACAGCAGTGATAACACGGAAGTTTCCCATCAGGGCTGCCAAATATGCTGCTAGAAAGGTGACGAAGTGTAAGATTTGCAGCTCCTGAGTGTCAGAGAAGCCCAGGAGGAGGAATTCAGTTACAGTGGTGTAGCCTAAGTGGTACACGGCTGGTGCCCCGCTCTCCAAATGAAGGGATGATAGTGGGTGTGATTGAGCTGTGGAAGCATGATGGTCTAGCTTCAGGCCAGCTCACCTCCCTTCCCTACAGAGCAGAGCACAGACCAGGGACACCCAGTGATACTTAACTACTTACAGATTTAATTTTACAATACAGTATAAAACATGTACGTATATTTATATATGTTGTTTACAAATATAAATTTATAAAGACAGTAACTCTTATTAACTGTAAACCCAAGCAATCTGCAACCCCATCTTCATCATCCCTTGTCAAAACCACCCAGGTGTGCTGGGCATACTGGCTTTTATCCCTTCTGGAGGTTCCACCTCCAGATAGTAATGGGAAAGCCTGAGAGGTTAGTTCCCCTTCAGGTCCTCTTCTTCACCTTGCCCATGGATCAGGGTGGGGCAAGCCTTCTTCCTGCCTTCTCCTGATTGGTGGGGAAGGGACATGCCCCCACCAATTGGTCTGAATCACCCAGCTAAAGTCATCAAGCCAGGCTGCCACCAGCCAGCCTGCCACATCCTTCCCAGTGCATTGTGCAAGTGCTGTATATAATGGAACAAGGGCAGTCATAAAGAGGAGAGTAACAAACTCAGTGGTTTTGATATTCCCATCAGGAATTCTCCTGATCTGATTGTGAAATTTCATGGTAAGAAAGTAAACTTTCCATTATTTTTTTCTCTTTGGAAAATGTGGTTTTAATAAATTATTTTTCCCTGAGAAGACCTTACCTAAAATATAACATTTTGATATTTCATTAAAAAAACTGAAAAAAATATTTACCCAGCAACCACTCAGGTTGTCTTTTTTTTAAATCTGAAAGTCTACCATTTTCAATTGGTCTCACCTGGAAATTTTCTGCTAAAAGAAACAAATGTAATTTGTGAGATCAAAAATATTCTATAAAAAGATTAATTCCCTGGAGGTCCCATTCCTCACCCACCTCCCAATAACCTGTAAACTTTAACTGAAATAATAGGAAAAAAACCACAAAAAAATTGTCATTAATTCTTGTAGCTTAAAATATATTATACATAATATTTAGTATAATATTATACATAATGTTCAGCCAGGTTTTCCAACTTTTATATTCCTAAATCTCCTCTGCAACTTACTGAGACAAGACCTTGCATTGATGTAGTAAACTTACTAAAGTTATCTTTGTGGAAGTTTCCTCATCTTGTGTCATATTTAAATTTCTCTTGCCAAGATTCTTTGCTCATGTCCAGTTGATCTGTTAAATCTCCTTTTCACCAGCCAGTAATCGAGATCCCCCAAAGCACTGATACCTCCAAGGTCTTTCTCTGCTCACTTTGTCATTGAACTGACTGAGCTCATAGCAGGGTCCCTGGCAAAGCTGTTTGAAGAGTCATGGAACTTGGGAGCGGTCCCGAAAGACTGGAAGAGGGCTAATGTGGTACCTATCTTTAAGAAAGGGAAGAGGGACAACCCTGCAAACTACAGACCGGTCAGTCTGACCTCATTCCTGGGAAAAAAAAATTGAAAAAATTGTCAATGAGGCCATCAAACACAAGTTTGCAACTGGTGGGTTATTAAGAAGCAACCAGCATGGCTTTCTTGAGGGTAGGTCATGTCTAACAAACCCGGTGCCCTTTTATGTCCAGGTAACTAACCAGCTAGACATGGGACATGAAGTTGACATCATATACGTAGACTTCAGAAAGGCCTTTGATACTGTTTCCCATGAGATTCTTTCATTTAAGCTGTAGGGTACTGGCCTGGACCAGTCTACAATGAGGTGGGTTGGCAACTGGTGCAGAGGCTGATCCCAGAGGGTTATAATCGATGGAACTTGTGAACTGGCCAGGTCCAATGTTCCCTCTAAGGTGTAGCAATCTGTGAGCGCAGCACTTCAGTCTATGAGTGCACCACTTCGGTCCGTTCCCAAATTGGTCTCACCTCCCCCTTTTGACGCATGCTGCTTCGGTCCACCCCACAGTATAACACAGAAGCCTACAAGGTTCTATTTTTTTCTTTCAAATTACATCTGAAATACTTTCTAAAATGTCTTGGTGTAGTGTGTCAAGATAAGTGCAGAGTGCCACCTGACTTCCAAATGTGGAAATGTTTAAAAAAAGTGTTAGATATTATTTCTATGAAAATGGTTGAGCTAAAGCTACATTTAGTTTTTAAAAGAGTTCAAGGAGACAAAGGGGGATTACTATACAGACAAACCTCAAGAGAGCTGAAAATATTGCCATGTTTCAAAAGGCATTAAAAAGCCATATGAAAAAATCAGTTTAGAAAATGAAATTTTCCATCAAAATTACTTAAAGGAGAACTTAAGAAACATAACTCACTAAGCAAAGCTCGCCCAAAGGGGCTCGGGGGTGGAGCAGTTGCCTGGAGCCAGTGGAGCCCATGCTCTGTCCCAGCCCCTACCTTGCCTCAGGGAGAAGCCACTGCCTGCCCCACACCACTCTCCTGCCCCACGGGGATGCTGGTGCGGTGAGGAGTGGAGCGGAGCAGAATGGCCGCCATGCACCCAAGGTAACTTACCGCTGGTAAGTGTCCCGTGCCAGCCCCTGTGCCTTCACCCCAAGCTGCACTCTGGGGGCAGTGCTCAAAGTTTCCAGAAAGCCACAGCCCAGCTCCTCTCCAGGCAGGTGTGTGGCATTAAAAGGTTACTGCATGGCCACCCACGCGCGCAGCTTAGAGGGAACCTTGGCCAGGTTTGCTGCTTGAAGCACGTGTACAGCTCTATCTCTGCATATGACATACAGTACAAACCCACCCCAGCACCATGCACAGCATAAAGTGTGTGGGGCCAGTCTGGGGCATATGTGACACAAAGCACACAGTTCCAGTCTGCAGTGCATATGGCATGTGGCATTTACATCAAATTGACTGTACATGGGATCCTGCATCTAGCGTGGGTCAGTGGACCCAATCCAGACTATAATCTAGTACACAGGGATGACCTGACACAGATGCCTCATGCAGCACACATCCCAGCCCATACTCATGCCACGTACAGCCCATGGCAGACAGGCTCCACAAGGAGCATCAAGGGATCAGAAACTGATATGTAGACCTGATTTCTCTTGATCAAAACAGAATAGGTGCCACAGCCTGATGTGACCAGATGTATCCTTCTTTCATCATCCATACTAACTTCCTTCCCGGGAGGCTCCCACTTGTGCCTG